CCACTCTGGTAGGACTTGTTTGTCACCTCTTGAGCTTGTTTAACCCCTGTCAACTCTTTGTGCCGGGATGAAGTAACCCATCTGCTGCTCCAGTGTGGAGCTCTGTGCGAGTGTCCCAGCCTCACCATGATGGTCCCTGTGCTGAAGGACAGGACACTGCTGCCTTTGATAGGTGACCCTCTTGGCTGCCTTGCACCAGGCCAGAGTACGTGTTCCTTCAGGATCCTGGGGCTGGCATCCTCAGGACAAGCTGGAATGGTGGAAAGGTCATGCACCAAGTGGCTGGAGCTTTGTCTGGTGCTCCCAGCTGTGGTGGCAGTGACCATAGGTGGTTGCCAGACTCTTCTGCAGAGACAGCTTGTTGAGAGATGTGGATGGTCATCTCTGCCCAGCAAGGGAGCTGCCAGCCTGGCATGTGCCATGGCATTAAACCTTGCCATGGCTGATCTGTGCTCAGCACTGGATCGGTCAACCCTGACCACGGTATTGCCTTCTGTCCTGGGATGGACATGGCATGGAAAGCCCAGCAGAACTGCTCAGTCCCTGTAACAGCTCAGCCAAGGGCAGGTGATGTCACTCCAAAAGAGGGTCCCAAGGCAGCAGGACACAGTTCATGGTCTGGAGGGAAACCTGGACCATGTCCCATCCCCTCCAACCTGCTGCAGGTGTTGTCAGGAGGATCCAGTTATTTATGGATCTTCTCTGTGTTGGTCACCACAGTAACAGGGAGGCTTCTGCCCCACCAGAGGTTTCAGCAGGTGGGCAAGTACCATCTCTCCCCTTTGGTGCAGGAGCTGGGCCCAGTGCTTAGAGCAGGGAGAGACTTGAGGAAGTATTAAATAGCTGCTGGATGTGTCACCGCAGCAGTTGATCCAGGGCAGTGAGTCACAGCCAGCCTGCCAGCGCCCCAGCACAGAGGATGGCAGCACTGGGCCAGCCCTCCCCTCCCCTCCTGCTGCTTACTCATGTATTGGGTTGGGGTTGTTTATTGGTGTGTCTGCACACGGCTGGGATGAGCATCCCCCTGGCATTGGGTGGGACAGGAGCCAGAGGGTCAGGTTCAAAGTGGAAATAAAACAACTGAGAGTACCCCAGCATTTTCCTGCACTGCATCCAAAGGGATGCAAAGCTGCTGGTCCCTGTGGACACCTTGCTGCTTCGTGGATGGCAGGCTCATCACAGCCTGCTCTCAAGTACTGATGCAGTTTATTAACTATGAGTCTTTATGGCCCTACCCTCGGCCCAAACCCTGATATGAAAGGCTGGTCTTCAGGATTCCTTTCACTTTTAGTTATATTTTCTTGGAAGCCTTCCCTGTGGAGCTCCTCTCCAGCCACCTGGCCCTGTACCCAGCTCCCTGCCAGGGGCTGACACAGTGAGGGAGGTGAGTGAACCTGCAAAAATGGGTGAAGCCTTAGTGCTGCTGGTAGGTTGCCCATCTCAAAACCTTTATGCTGGTCCCAGATGGTCCTGTTTAGGAGCTGTGGTAGAGATGTTTGGGGTACTTTGGTATTTGGGTTGCAGTATGCCTTGCTGTTGGGTACAAAATGGGTGAGTTTTTTCTGAAACAGATTTTGGTATTTTTTTTTTTAATTATTATTATTGTGTGTGGCAAAACATAGTAGAAAGACTCTTGCCAAGTGCTTGCAGTCCTTGGCTGGAAGGTGCTGTCTCAGCTTCTGAGACACCCCACAGGTGGTAGGTGTAGGGCAGGTGGCCCTACAAATCAGGAGTGGTCCTCACTTCTGTGAGGAGGCTGACTGACCAATATTCCATTATTTCAGGTCCAGGGGAGGTCACCAAACCCTTGTGAGTCCCAGCAGCCATCAGGATGGCATTTAGCAGGAGCAAGATGTGCATCCTCCTGCACGTGCAGAAATACTCCTTCATCTCCACTTCCTTTAGCCTGACAGTTTCTGGGAGGCTGGGAGACAGCAGTGCCAGAAATCAAAATAAAGCTGCAGGATCTGAGATTTTTAATTCTAAATAAATATATATTTTTTAGTGTCAGCATTTGAAATTCTGACTTCCAGTCAGGAAATCTGTTGAAGTCATGGCATGAATCATCCCTACCCTCAATTTTAGGACCCATCACATGGGGAAAGGGAACAGAAAATTAGTCATTTTGTTAATCAGCTTCCAATAAAAATTATTTAGAATAAAATGAGTGGCCTTTGGGAACAGCAGTCATGTGTCCTGGCACTCACAGCACCTGCTGGCTTCCCTGGTGCTGTTTTGGGGCAGGGCCTGGCAGCTCCCTGCACTTCTGGTTTATGATCAAAGTGACCTCCTGGGACAAATACAAACAGAGGCAGCTGGAAACCCGCCTTCTGCTGAGAAGCTACTCTTCCCCAAGAAAAATAATTCTTGCCCCAAAAAAAGCCCATTATTTCTCCTACCTGGTGGTGTAATGAAGCCACCCACTATTAATATAGGGGGTCAGCAGAGAACCCCATTAAGAGGGGGGTCTATTTGCAAGTGGGACAGTGAGACTCACCCCCAGCTTCTGTGGTTTTGAGTGATGGTAAAAAACTGAGTGGGTTACAGCAAAGGTGCTGCTTGGGGCAAGGTGAATGTTTTTAGGTTTATTGCCTGGTGGGGTTTTATGGTGTTTTGTTTTTTTTAACTAGGGTGATGCTGTCATGGTGGAGTATTGGGGATGAGATGCTGAGTACAGCCTGTTGTGTCCCTCTCAAGCAGGAACTGAGGGGATTGGAGAGCATTGCAGGTCCCCTCAGATAAGGATGAACCTTCATTCTGTCAGTTCCCTCCTGAGGCCAGGGATTTGGGGGAAGAGGGGCAGTGAGGCTGGTTTTAAGTGGGAGCTGATCCTCCCCAGAAGGCAGGGGGAGGGCAGGCAGGGAAAGGAGCAGCCCTCAGTCCCCTTCAAGGGGATAGATAACATCCTGTGTCTGGCTGCAAGCTGGAGACAACTCCCAAACCCCGCAGAGATTACAGCAAGGACCCCCAGTGCTTGCAAGGATCTAAGGAAGCAATAAAATCCATTGGATTTTGGAGTGGTGAAGAATGTGGTGGGGCTTATGCCCTGGCTGCTTTTTTGGAGGGTTTCTCTTGCATGAGCAGCAAAGCTGGCTGCCTGTTTCTCAGCTTTTTGGCAGCACTGTGCCGCTCGCCGGGCTGCTGGTAAATGATTGCCTGGAGCAGCGGCCAAGGCGGGGCCAGAGGTTGGTGCCTGGTTTGAACCCGGACAGGTGCCCGGGACCCATCCTGCTCCACAGCGCTCGGTAGCCCCTGGATTCTGCCAGCAAGGTGAGACTGTTTGGTGGGACTCAACGAGCTGGGTTATTTTTCCTGTTTATTCTTAAGCTCCTGGCCCCCATATACTGGCTTGTGGTACAAGAAGTTGGATTTGTGACTAGCTTGGTCCCTGGCCAGGGAAGGGCGGTGTAGGAAGTGCTCTATGGGATGTGTTGCACTCTGGTTTTGGTGTTAGAGTGCTCTGAGGGGGAGGTTGGGGGGTGGTGAACAACAGTGAACAACAGTTTTTCAGGGTGATTTGGGTGGTGCCGCAGTGGCACCTGGACTTTGCTCCATGCTGGGGGACAGTTGCAGCCTTGAATACACAAGATTGGGGAGTGGTGCCAAAACGCAGTTTGAAGTTTATATCTTGCAAATTTTAGTGGTTTGGGTCTTACAGAGAGGTGGGCTGAACCCAAGGTGTCCTTCACCCCACGGTTTTCCCCAGTTGCTCAGCCAAGGCAAACATGAGCTCAACGCTGAGGTATTTGTGACGGCTGCTCCGTGCCCGTGTTTTGGAGGTGGGCAGGGAGGTGGCACCAGCAGGACCCGGCACCTGCGCAGAATGTCCTCACGAAGCCGTGTCTTCCTTGGCTTCTCCTTGCCTTTCTCACGCCATGATTAAAATTCCTCATCACCGGCGACAGGACCCTTCAAGCCCTCCCTTTGATTACTCAAGTAGGCAACAAAAAATAATGAAGAAGTGGAGTTTAACCTAAGGTCAAGCTTTCTCACTGCCTGGCTGGAAACTTGGGATAGCTGGAGCAGTGGGAGGGGTTGTGACCAGCCAGGTGAAGCTGGGAAAGCATTTTGTGATCCCCCTGGATGGAGGGCCTGAAAATTTATTGTATGTTACTCCATCCAGGGCTTTCAGACAAGACTGATACTGTCAAAACCAGTGTTATATCAGGGAAAATAGATATATCTTTGCATGGTGTTTGGAAACACTGTAAGCTCAAATATTTGAGTTCTTTATAGCTTGTGCTTAATTTTTTTTAATTTATGCCAGTTGCAGTTCTTGAGCTGCTGGAAGAGACAGGAGTTGGGTGTGCCCAGGCTAAGAGGTGTTGTTTTATGGTAGTAGTACCCACTGGATGGGAGTTGAGCTGGGCCCAGTGTTGGTCAGAGCCTGGGCTTTGTCATGGGTGTTCATACCTGGCTACCCCTCCCAAACCCTACCTTTGGTCATGTTTTTCTTCAGAAACAGGCTTTGTTTTAATTTCTTAATCTCTCTCTATAAATTGAGATGGATGTAAATATGAAAAGATTAAAATGTGCATTATCTGCACCTTCCCTCTATATCATTGCAAAAGCAGGCAGCCAGCAGTTCATCTGCCTTTTCCAGTGTTGTTTAGAAAATCCCTCAGTGCCACTCTGTCAAATTTCCAGAGAAATTGCAGTGAAATTCCAGTAAACCCATTAAAAGTCTGTGCTCACAGCAGAAATAACCCGGGCATCTTTTGGGCACCACGCAGGCACACAAACCTCATCATTTCCCACCACAGGAAGATTTGGACCCACTGTCCAGACATGACAAAAAGAAAAAAATTTCCTTTGCAGATGAATATCAGCATTTAATAACATCAGCAAAAGTGCAATCTGTGCACAGGGTGGCAGTGAACAACTTCTTGGTCTAGGATTCACCCCATGGGATGTTGATTTAATGACACACTGCTTTTAAAATGTCTTGTACTCCTTGTTGGTGGCTTGGGATGGAAACCTGATTTCTTTTCTCCCCACAGGCAGCCTGTCCTGCAATGACCCAGAGCACCTGAGGCCCGGCAGCTGTGGGGATGGAGCTGAAGGTCTGGGTGGATGGGATCCAGAGGGTCGTGTGTGGAGTCTCGGAGCAAACCACCTGCCAAGAAGTGGTCATCGCCCTGGCACGGGCCATCGGTGAGCCATCTCCATCTGCCAGGGGGTGCCCCATCTGCAGGCTCTTCCTGGGAAGAGGAGTCCTTGGGTGGGTGGAGGTCTTGCTCTGTGGTGGTGGGGATGCCACCAGCACTGCCTGTGGGGCAGCAGCCTCAGCACACCCCTGCTGGCCTCTGCTTTCCCGATCTGATGTGCTCGCCTCCTCCCGGCAGGTCAGACGGGCCGCTATGTGCTGGTGCAGAAGCTGCGGGAGAAGGAGCGGCAGCTGCTGCCGCTGGAGTGTCCCTTGGAGTCGCTGGCCAAGTGTGGGCAGTATGCCAACGATGTGCAGTTCATCCTGCGGCGGACAGGCCCCAGCATGGCCGAGCGGCCCTCCTCGGAGGGCGCTCCCCAAGCTCCCGAGAGGACGTTCATCCGGGCCAGCTTGCCCATCAAGCCCAGGCTCACCAGCATAGATGGGCCCCGTTCTAGGGAGCCAAAAAAATCCATGACCTTCAGCCTGGGTCCTACAGGCTCCAGTGACCTGTTCACCGTGGGCCGATGGAGGCACCAAACACGGGATGGGCTAGAATTGGAGGGTGGTGGTGTTGTCCAGCCCTCCAAGGAGGAGCTTTTTAGGAGAGTGCTGCAGCAGCAGGAGCAGCTGCATTCCTTGGAGGCCCATGGGGACACCCTAGAAATGGACCTACGGCTCTGGGAGCGCAGCCGGCTTGCTGGCCAGGAGAATGAGATCCTCTATCTGGAGCAAGTGGTGCGGAGGAACGAGACGGAGCTGGGTGAGGAGGAGTTTTGGCAGAGTGAGCTCCGGCTGGAAAAGGAGTGCGAGCGGGAGCGACAGGAGCGGGTTAGGAGCCTGCGGGCCAGCCTGGAGGAGTACACCCAGAGGATCTATGAGCTGAGTGTCCGGACTGAAGCCCTGCAGGAGGAGATCCAATGGGAGATGGCTGAGAGGGCCAAGAGGGGGAAGGAGATCTCTATGCCCAGCCCCATAGAGCTGGAGGACATGGCCACCAAAATGAAAAGGGACCTGGAAGCCAAGGTCAAGCAAGGCACCCAGCTGGAGAGCAACCTGGCCAGCGTGGAGAAGGCCCTGGAGGAAGCTGAAAAGAACCTGCAGGTAGATAGGACTGGGTTGAGCCACCCCATGGGATGGTAAGACCTTCGGGAGGGGGTGGGACCAGCTTTCCAGACACATTAGACCAATAGGTTGCGTGGGGTTGGTTACTCCACCTGCCCAGTGAACTTGGGACTGGGTGCACATCTCTCAGCAGCAGTGATCACTGACAGAGGGACACCACCACCCATGCCCCACTGGCACGGGGTCCTACACCAGTTGCTCTCTGTGCAAGCTGTGTCTGGGCTAATGCTTCTTCTGATTGGTGCTCCGGGAGCACAGCATCACCTTGCTCCAGCACAGGCAATAGTGCTGGAGCAAGCGGTCTACGTGTGGGGTTGGTGGCATTGGCACAAGGGCCGATGTCATCTTGGATGAAGGAGTCACAAAGGGCATAGCACAGATCTCCGTGGTGCCTGTGCACAAAGTCTTTTGACCATGCAGGGCTTGGATTCATGGTGGGGTGCTGTGCAGTGTGGAGATGGCAGCTCTGGGGATGAGCTGTGACGTCCCCCCAGCTCTCCTGTTGCAGCCTCCCAGCATCAGGGGCCAAGGGGCTGCATGATTCCCACCTTCTACCCACCATGTCCCCTTTGGAGCAAAATGGGGAAGCTTTTTTCCAGCCAAGCCTTCCCCAGGCTGTCCATGCTTTCAGCATCTTTCCTTGAGCATCTCATTTGCATTTGGCATCTCCCAGCGCGGCGGCGGCCGCCGTTTGATGGCTGCTCGCACCCTCTTGTGGAGATGCAGCAGAGCAGGGCTGTTCCCACACCAGCGTCTTCCTCGTCCCCGTTGCCTGGGCACCTCCCTTCCTGCAGGCGCTCAGAGAGGGGCGGCTGAGCCTCAGTAGCCCTGAGGTTCGCTCTGCTGGCACCGCCAGGGGAGCAGCCCCAGCGGATGGTTGCCGGCTGGCTTGGGGCACGGGGGGAACATGCGGCTCACCCTGTCCCCCCCTCGGTGTGTGTTTTGCAGGCCCAGACCCAAGAGCTGGAGGAGTTAAATAAGGAGCTGAGGCAGTGTAATTTGCAGCAGTTTATTCAGCAGACGGGGGCCACGGTGACCGTCCTGCAGGCCAGGTCCGAGGAGGACGCCCAGCCAGAGCCGAGCCCGTGCGAGCTGCCAGCCTACCGGAGAAACGGAGGTCAGCACGCTGCCGCTGGCTCGGCCGCGGGGGCTGCTCCGCGGGACCCCTGCCCGCTCCCTGCCTCCTCTCTGAGGGGTCAGCCCCAAAGCTGACCAGTTCTCCCCTGGGCACTGAGATTAGGCAGGTGGGGGTTTGTGTGCTGGCGTAGCACTTGCTCACCACTCCATGGGGTTTCAGAGATTTGTCACCCCTGGGGCTCCTTCCTCCTCCCCATTGAAGCCTGGGGGCTGCTGGTAGACATGCACGGGAGTCAGATCCTGCATTGCTGCTTTTGGGGCCGAGGTGGCTGCGGGGAGGTTTCCTTTACTGCCTTGCTCATGTCACCACAGCGGCTGCAGCAGAAGGCAGGTGGCTGAAGGCCAGCATCAGTCCCCGGGGGCTGTGGGCTGGTGGGGACATCCTCTGGCCACAAATGACCTTTCTGTGTTTGGCGAGGGAAGGGTGGTGTCCAGGGCCTTGTCTGCATCCTCACAGCCATGAGAGGAGGCAGCGGGGGGGTTCTCATGGAAAGGAACCTGGTCATTTCTCCTCTGGAGCAGCTGGAGCGGGTGACATGACTGCCCTGTGGCACTGCAGCGGCTGTGCCCAGCAAGCCGGGGAGGCTTGAGCCCTGCCTGAGCTGGATGTTTTTCCCCATCCTGTAGGTTTTTCTCCCACCGCTGGTACAGACTTGCCTCCCCAGGTCAGCACCAAGCAGCTCCTCGGCCATCCCAGGACCCTGCCGGAGCCCCTGGTGTCCAGCCTGAACCCCGAGGGTGCGTATGTCCCAGCGGGGCCCCGGGAGCGTGAGCCGCTCTGCAGAGGATGGGTGGGAAGAGGGGAGAGGCTTTTGCTGCCCAAAATGGGCTGCAGAGAGCAAGCGTGTGCTGTGGTGGGAGGCCAGAGCTATTTATAGATGCCATTAGGAAGCGCAAAGCTCACACTCCAGCAGTCTCTGCTGTGCTGCCAGGGGCTCACACACTGGCAGCCTGGCTCTCTGCCCTGCCAGGAGCTGTGGAGGATGGTTCTCATCCCCTCTTCTGCCACTCTGTATCCCCCAGGGTTAAGATCTTGCTCAGTTAGGATGAGGAGGACTTGTCTCCTGTCTTTTACAAGAGCTACTTTTATTCCATCTTAGTGACCAGTTCATGCCGAAACCTTTTCTACCCCCCCGTGACTCTTTTGTCCCCTTGCACCTGTTTTTTGAGTGCAGCAAAAGAGAGCTGTGGCAGGGACACCTACCTGCTGTGGTGATGCTGTCTCCACCCTGGCATCCTACTCCCACCCGTGCCACCTTTGCCTCAGCAAAACCCTGTTGCCATCCTCCACACAGCCCAATACATCCACCCATCCTTCAGGACACTGCAGCAACCACATTCCCATCTCCTGGTCCAGACTTTATGCTCACGTACATCCTGTTTTCCACTCTCCTTTTTGCAAGTGCTCACCCACCATGGTGGGATTGCTCAGGTGTTTTTTTTTTTCTCTTGTCTTGCAGTTGTATCAACCAGGCAGAGCATCTGGAGGTAGAAGGGCCCAGGCAGTGGAAAATCAATTGCCTTCAAAGTGTAACTGTATAAATAAACCATATTATATATATATATTTTATATTTTTTTTACTGCTTTATATTGTGAATGGATGTGGATGGCCAGACAGAATATTTTTACAGACTGTAAAGTAAAAGTAGAGACTGATCTCACAAAGCAACCTGCCTCCCCTGAGGACGAAAACTACTCCCTTCTATTTTTTTTTTAAGCAGTTTCTCTATTGAACAGAAAACAGCAGTGCACCCATTCTGAATAGCCTCCTGAAAAGATCCATCATGCATTTGGAAAAGTCATTGTTCCTTTGACTAGGGGAGCGAAGCTGCAGTGGAGACCCACGTGGAGGCTCACCTGGATGGAGCAAGTTAACAGATTTTACATCAACTCGTCACTGCAAGTGGGGCCATGACAAACAGCCTCTTCACTGGTGGCAGGGGAGGCCCAAAGCAGTTTTAAGACAAATTTCTGGCCTGTCTTTTTTTTGTGCATATTATAAGAAACCTGTAGGAGAAACCACTTTCTATGGTGCCACAGACCATGCTTCAAGGAAGCACACAGCGGGAGTTGTTTTTCTTAAATTCATTTAATCTTTCAACTTCTTTTTTAAAGTAAAAAATTGCAGAATGAGCCCTTCCCTGGTGGTGGTGTGTGAGTGGGGAACAGGACCAAAATACTCTTGGTGACATTTCCCTGATACTTTTTTTTAACTCGATGGCCAGTAGTTACCATTCTGTTCATCTGTCGCAGTGGGTCACCTTGTATTTTAATTGCAAAACCAAAGCGGTTTGGGGAGGGGATGAGTTTGTCTGGGAGATCCCTGAGCCTGTTTTCAACGTGTCGTATGCGAAAAATGTGACTTGGGCACAGCGTTCCCCGTAAAACCCCGCTTCCCCTGTGTGAATGTAAATCCTGTGCGCCGCAGATCCAATTTTCAATAAATCTTTGGGAAAGGATTTGAGCAAAGCGAGTGTGAGTGTGCTGTTGTGGCCAGGGTGAGCCGTCCCTGCCGGCGCCTGACGGACGCGTCCGAGCGCTTTGCGCACCCCGCAGCTGCCTCTTCCATTTCCAAGCCATCTCTTTCTATTTGCCGAATTAAAGCTGTGAGTATTTTATAACCGACTGACTCTTATGCACACAGTGCTCTTTTCTTTTTTTTTTCCCCTTTTCTTTGTTTTTTTAATCATGAAGTGCTTTACAACCAGGGGATGTCTCCAGTGAGATGCGGCCATCTCTGGGATGAAACATGGCAACATTTTAATAATGCACAGCAGCAGCTCAGAGCATTTTAGGACAGGAGGCAAAGGGGGTGGCGCTCAGCTGCAGACATGAGCCAGGTAAGGGGAAATTTCCTATTTGCCTCCAAGCCCCTTTGTCTGCACCTGGATAACTGCAGCCAGGAATGTCAGCTCTTGCTGTCCATCACCATCTCCCCCGAGCTTCTGCTGGGCTCTTGTCCCTGGGGACATCTTCCCCTCTCAAAGCTGATTTTCTAGGTGCCACCACAGCCCAGCAGGCTGATCAAGTAATATTAAAGGATTAAAGTTTGGTTTTTTGGGAGATCCACTGGTACTGCTGTGTCTTAGGTTATGACTGGAGAGCTGCCACAGTGGGGAGATGCAGTTTCAAAGCTGCCTTTTTTGAATTGGGGCTTTTGGGTGGGTTGCTTTTCAAGCTCCTCCTCACCCTCCTCCTTAAATCATGTATCTCAAGGAAAATTAGTTAAAAATGTGTTTGTTCCATGCAGCTGCATTTGGTTTCTTCCTGCTTGTTTGCTTTTTGGGCTTCATGTCCTTTTTTTTTTTGGACTCTTGCTTTTAAAGATTCTGCCTTGCTAAGAATGTCCATCTTGGGTGATGGACATTGTAAAGAGCATTTCAGTGCTGCTTGGGGAGCGGAGGGAAAAGCAGGTTTAGAAAACCCACTTGCCTTGGACATGGCCAGATTTCAGTGTGTCACGGGACATCCTTTGCGTATCCCAAAAAACTGACCTCTTCAGGTTTAAAACTGGATCTTTCATTTTTTGGGTTACATTTGTAGCCTTGCCTTCTGCAAAATAAACAGGAAAAGGGTCATCACCTATGGTACTTCCACATGGGGGCAGAAAATTAATTTGAATGTCTGGGGGTTTTTTTCACCTCTGTTACAATTATATATTATTTATCAGTTTTGTCGGTTCAGTCATAATTCAGTCATAATCATAACATGCCAAACCAGCACCAGTCTTTCCTAGAAGGAGGTGTGGGAGGGTGTGGAAAATAAGGATTTAAAATATATATCACAGCAGATTTGGTCCTTCAGCTGATGCCCCTTGGCTGGCATGTGGGATTTGGAACTGTTGCATGGGTGGGAGACAGAGTAAATCAATTGTGTCCCCCACTGATAACCAGGCATGGGACTAGTGAGAGGGCTGTGACCAGGGGCTAACTCTTTGCAGCTCAAGACTGGCTCTTTGCAGATTTTCTTCATTTTGTGACCTACCCACCATCACCCAGCTGCTGCCTAGGCCAGCAGTGTTTCACGAGGTAATGAACTGCTTTGATTACTCTCTCCCTGCTGTGGTGCACGTGGGGCAGAGGTGGTAATCAAACTCCTGTGTTACCTGGGGAGCTCCCCAGCCGAGGGTGACCTATATTCCTGCCGGCTCGGGGGGCCTGTGCCGGCCGGCCGGGCGGGCGGGTCCCCGCTGTTATTTAACGCAGCGAGGCTCAATACCCGCTCCCCCGCCTTCCCGCTTTTAGCTGCTCTAAAGACTGTGTCAATAATACATTTCTGCCATTGAATATTTTATTGATGGTTTGACTTTTTTTGCTGCTCGCAATTCCCATTTCAAGGCTGCGTGATTGTTCCTAATTAAAATTTTATGCCCTGGGACAAGCCTTCTTGCTACAGTGGAGATGATGCTGTCCTTTTCTAGGCCACTACAGAGTGGTAGGAAGAAATTACCATTACCCATTGTTATGAGATTAAAACAAAGCAAATAAATTATTGTTTTTTCCCTTAAAAAACAAACCAAAAGTCCTGCGTACGGCGCGTACTGGAGAGGGAACAACTGGCTCGCGGGCAAGGCAGGGATCCAAGCGTGCAGGGTGGCTCGAGGATGCTGTGCCTGGCTGCGCAGGGACTCATGTCCCCATGTCCCTCAGGCACTGTGGGCAGCTTCTTCCTTCCCTGGAGTGGGCAGGAATGGACTTCAGAGCTTCTCTCTCCTCAGATGCTTCTCCTGGCTAGCTCTAGTGCCACCCAAAAAATCACAAAGTGAAGGATGTACCTGTTTTTCGCTACTGAGCAGTCCTGCATTTTTGTTGGCTTTTTTTTAAATAAATCTGCAGGTTCTGCCAGCACAAGGCACCATTCAGAAGAGTATTTCAGCCACCTCCAGCCTCCCTGGCACCCTTTTCCTGGCTGCACTACGTGATTTTTTTTTTTAATTTTTTTTTTTTTTTTAGGTTTTTTGGTTTTTGTTTTTTTAATATTGTGTAAGAAAAATGGCCCCCAGCTCCTCACCCCTCTATCCTGGACAATGAGCTCCTCACCATCCTCATAAGATGGTGGTCTGGGTGCCAGCACTGCTCCAGGCCAGTGCAGTTTCTTCAGGGTAACACTGCTGCAGACACTTGAACCATCCCCAAGTTGCAGTTACGTATTTGTACAAGTTCCTGGGTGTTTGGGTTTGGGTTTTTTTTCCCCCTCAATTTCATCTAGAGTGCTAGAAGCATTTGTGCTGCCTCCCAGCCCCTGGATTTGGCAAGCAGCTTTCAAAGCACACACTTCAGCACCAGTTACATAAGGAAAGGTGTGAATGTCTGGAGGAGAAAATGCCTGTTGGTTTTGCTCCCCAAGTGGTGTACAGATGCTCTGCTGCTTGCTCCTGGCTGCACAGCTTCTCCCAGCATAGTTCACTGCAGATGGAGAAGAGCTGTTTGAACTGGCGTGTGTGTCCATGCAGGGAACATTGTCTGCTCTCCTATGATGATTTTTCTTTCTCCATCTCAGAGTGCAGACTGCATTCTACCTTGCCCTGGAAAAAAAAAAAATCATAAAGCACTAGAGGAGGCTGGGAAATTTTCTTGTTTATGGATGAGCAAGTTTCTCTCCCAATGGAACCTCCTGCCAGCAGAATTTTCTTTTTTTTTTTTTAGGATGTATTATATAAGTCCCTGCTTGCATTTAACTAACAGACTTCCTCTTAAACAATTCATGTACTCCTTCTATTCCTCACAGAGCAGCTTGCTCCTTCGGTGGGGCTCACCTGACACTGGGACATGTTATGGATAGAACACAACAGGCGCTTCTTAGCGTGGTGCTTGAAGGGTAAGGCCTGTTTCCCTTCCCTCCATGAAGAGCTGAAACAAGAACAAAATCTTTGAAGAGCACAAAGAGTCCCTTCAGCTCAACAGGCCTGAAATTCAGCATCTTCCCCTCCTGTAAGACACTCCCCTGCCTCTCACCAAAAATCTCACAGTTTGGAGTGAAAGCACACAACTACTCTTCTAAGCAAGCTAAGTACCATCTTACAAATCTGTTTGTTAGCTACTGAAAAACATGAAATCAAGGGGCATCACAGCCCTGGTGTATTTTCTCATCACTCAGGAGCACCCTGCAGCTAGGCCAGGACAGAAGGGCTGATGCTGGGCTTTCTGCTTAAGGGACAACCATGTCACACCCTTCTGCTCTCCTTTTCAAGCCACCTTCACTGGCCACAGAGGCAAAATAAGAGATGGAAGGAACCAGGCATGCAGTGCAATCAGACACATCACTGAGAAGGCATAGCTTTCCTCTTCACCTGGTCTGATGCCCTGGATTACAGTAATCAGCACTCAAACACTGGTTTTGCACATTTATTGAAGATTTCAGGTGACAGCACAGCAGGTTAGTTTTGAATCATGCCAGAAGAATGTTAAAAACAGGAATTGATCTGGATGCTCCCCCCACTTACTGGAGATACACACGAAAAAGGCAAAGCCAAACCAACTGCACTTCAAGCCCTTCCTTTTGCTTACTGGAGCTGAACAGGATGGGTCCATCGGTAGCAGGAAGTTGGAAGCATTCACACCATAGTGCTGCTCATGGGAGCTGGGACAGGCCTTGCCAGGCAACCTGCAGAGCTGCTCCTGCCAGCGGCATCTCCCGGGGTTAACTCAGCAGCGAGCACAGTCCCAAATGCAGGGCTGTTCATTCAAAGAGAAACAAAGCACCTTTATTTCCAGACACAGGTTTGTTACTTGCATGGTCACCTATAAAATGGGGTGGCAGGGGGACTGTGGCCTTCAGTTTCAGCTCTCAGACACACTTGTACACACAAGGATTTTGCACCAGGTTTCCCTCGCTCCCGTTCTCTGTGTGGCTACACCGTGCTCCTGCCTGCTCGGGACCAGCAGTGGGAAGATGCTGTAGGTGCAGTTAGGGAAGAAAAAAGCAATCCAGGGCTGAGACAGCTGCAAACTTGTCTGCCCCCCAACCCTGTCTCCATTAAAAAAAATAAAAAGGCCCATTCAGCTTCTGAACAAACATGAAAGCATCTTGGATAACTTTGGTTGGTTTTCCCATCTTCTCTGTTTGAGCACTACGGAAACAGAGAGCACAGAGGGAGCTGAGTTTTCTTGTGAAGAGCATATGTTCCTCTGGGACCCAGAGGCAGAAATGATAAGAGCATGAAGGAGAGATAGGGACAGGCAAAACTTCTCAGAGAGACACTTTACCAACAGAGGACCTTGCTCTGTCTTCTGTGCAATTAACTACTTATTGACCAGAGCACTGCCAATTCCTTCAGACCAAGCCTTTACAACAGCCCAGGGCTACACGAGAGCAGTCCCAGGAAGAGGGGGAATACCTGAGCCCTTCCAGGGAACCTCAGCAGCTGTGGTGAATCCTAGCTGCTTATTAGGAACTTCAGCTGACAATGAAGCTGTGCTGCTCTTCAGAAAATACACTTGACTACCCAGCTTCTTCACCAGCCGAAAAATCACAAGAGATAACTTTGTAGGAGAAGCCATCTGCTTCGTCACTTCCTCCGTTTTTAGTGACAGCCACCGTGGGTGGCTGGAAAAGTCCCTGCCTGGCTCGCCTTCCTGTTCCTCGGGGCCATGAAGTCAGAGTCCCCTGCGTGACATCACAGCACATTGGGCAAGGCAGCTCTGCAAATGCCCAGCCAGGGCCGGGATGCCAACAGAGCCCTGGCACAAGATGAAGTAAACAACAAGCAAAGGTGAGGGGTGGGATGGAAAAAAAACAGCACAAAAAAGGAAAGTGAGGCTCATTTCTGCTTTTCCTTTAACAGACTAGAGAGTCTCTCTTTAAATGTGACTCATCCAGGGCAATACTAGGCAGAGTTTCTTCTGTTAACACACCCTTGGCAATAGCAGTTCAGTTAGTCACAGACCGGGTCTCAAGACGTCACCGGCCGGGATGATGCGTCTCTAACTTGGTACGGAGTCCGCTAGCACTTATTTACTTTGGAGAAGAGCAAGAGAACAGAGGGGGGCACGCCATCCCTCCTGAACAACTTTACCACCAACTATCCGCACCCACACGCCGACGCGGCCCGTTCCCTCCATCTCCGCTCCCGCCGGACACACCGAGCCCCGCCGCAGGAGCGTTCAACCTTTCCGCGCTCCCCGTGCGACTGCGGCCGATCCTGGGGCACAGCGAGCGCCTCGGGGGTCCGCAGAGCCGAGCGTGGGCAACCGCTGGAGGCAGGACAGTGGCGACGGATGGGGGAGCCGACTCCCTGGCACGCCGGAGCCCCTCACCTGGCTGGCCGAGAGGGCAGGAGGGCGTCGAGGCTTCGAGGCGCGGGTCCGGGGAGGCGAGGCGGCCGCACAGTGATGTCCGAGGAGCAGGTTAGCCGCTGTCACACGCACAGTGGAGTCGCCGAGAGCACAATGTGCGTTAGTCAGTGGCTCACCTGCTCCTGGAGGGTGACGGGGGGGCGGCGGGGCCCGTCTGCAGCACGGGCGACACCGGGCAGCGCGAAGGATGGGGCGCGGGAGGGGGGAGCCGCGCCGTGCCCGGGCTCCGCGGCGCGTGGAGCTGCAGCTCCGCGCTCCCACCCCCGGAACAGGCTGGCCCGTGCGGCCCCGGGGCCGGCGGCGCCCCGCAGCTCCGGAACGCGGGATCCCTCCCGGCGCGGCCGCCGCTCACCTGCGCTCCCGCCGCCGCCGCCAACTTCTCGCTCTGCCCCGGCCCGGCCCACGCCGCGCGCCGCGGCCCCTCGCCCCGCCCCCCGCACGGCTCCAGCCAATAGCGACGCCGCGCGCCC